ATGTAAGTACGTAGAAATGCGGAACCCGTAGGCGAAAGCAGCGGCGGAGTATTTCGGATCCGAAGTACATGTAAATAAACATGAGGCGCTGTGGACTATGGGAAAACATGTAATAGCGCTGGCTACGACGTGAGTAATGTGCGAAATAATGAACTACACACCTAGTGGGGCTAGCAAGACGGGACGGGACACGGATAGGACAAGTGCGCGGGAAAACATCGGGTCCGATGCGGCCTAAACGTCGGGTTGGCGGGTTAGCGTCGGATAACATCGGGAAGTGATTAGCATGTGACAGGTATTTGGCGTGTACTGTGAAATAGCTCGATACGAGCCCAGCGCCAGCTCGTGTCCTACAGCACGCCGTCAACGTTTTGCTGGATAGGATGCAAGAAGACAGACAGTAAAGATCCAAAGGGAAAGTACAAGATAGGTATAAAGGTGAGATGAAATAAAACGAGGCATGAGGAAATCGTGAGGACCGTGCGTCGCGTGTTAAAGATGACAGCCGGAGGTAAAAAGTAGAGCATGGACTAAATCAGAGAGCAGGTATCACCATAGTGTCAGTACTGTAGCACAACAGATACTCGGAGAAAGGTTCATATCCACTCACATCATAGGATAGACACCGTCAAGCCCAGGGCATGCTTGAAAGGCTCCCGTGACCACTGTTATTGCACTAAGTACATGCCATTTCAAGCATCGGCAGGCTTACCTTAGGGAACATTTTGAACGGCCCGTCTCAAAAAATGCTTACCAACTTGAAACGCAGGAAGTGCAAAAACTGAACGTATTAGCTTACATAACAAGGTTTTTGTATGCCAAGACAATTCAGCTTCTAACTCGCTGTACACACAGGACTTGCTGGTCGACCGTTTCCCTATACCACGTTATATCATCTGCGACCAGCGTGGCAGTCAAGCTCAATTACTGCTACTGAAGCTCAATCCGTCGACGACGCACATGTCGACATCGATGTATGGCACTGCACAAGCCGCGGGTCACGGTGCTGGCGGCTGGCCACTTGTAATATATTCTTTGAAGCACTCACTCGGGTAATTCTGCGCTCCTAGTCAAGTACCTGAATGGCGTCAATACTGATTGCGACTACATATTGCTCCAGAAGGGTCTACATCAACGACATACAACTACTATCAAGCATCAGGTAACATCACATGCCATGGTTTTCAATCGCATTACAGACCTCAATAAGGACTCCATCTTGCCTGCTAATGGCTGCCTCAAGTCTACTCACAGCTTCTAGCACATACCCAATTTCGTTAACTATGTATTCAAATTTCCTCCTGAGATCATCATGTTTCCATGATGCTTTCTGCCCATCTCTACGGTAAGTGCATAACTTGAAAGATAAAGCTAGACATACTTACATCATTCAAGTCGTCCTGTGACCTCTTTCGCTTTAGACTCGGACGTGACAGCAACTCATTGACATCCTTGTCACGGTGGGGACCAAACCAAGGCTGGATGTCCTTCGGGTCACTTCCGAGTGCCAGTGCCATTTCGCGTTCTGTTTTAGCTAGTCTGTGAGTTACTTGGCCTGGATGTGAGCAATTCAAACCTGCCAAGCTCACCATACGTATAGCACCCACAGGAATATACTGGACCACCTTGCCCATGCGACTGACCTGGGCCAGGGCAGGAGTCCTTGTGACTTTGTGGAGCGGAGCTTCTTGACTCGGAGTGATGGACACCCTTGCCTGCTCTTTCAAGTTGAGTCTCAAGGGCGGTGTTCATCAAGATGATAGCCTCGGCTCCATCGTTAAAGTCAGAGGGACGTGAGTCGATGCTAACAGAATCTGTGTCAGCAAACATCTTCGCCAGTTTACCCCTTCAAGTTGGAGAGTAACGGTATTTAAATTCAATTCACTCTACCATAATTTCAAGCTTACACGAAGATGGTCAACCCTGCTCCGATACAGAAATTCTTCTTGGATTCTCCCTGCATTCCAATGTGCTGATCTCTCGGCACCAGAAATTCGTAACCAAGTTCCAAAAGACCCTGTCGGCAATCATGTCACTTAGGGTATAGGCTAGTCTCGATTTTGAGTTTAGACGTCCCAAATCGGAGGACGTCGGTTATGTATAAAAAGGTTTAGGCCAGGGTTGAACATTGAGTACCAGTTCTGAGTGGGGAAACAACTTAAATGTTTGCAGCTCCTTCCGTGGCACTTGACGCCCCTCAGATGATCCGTCAACACCAACTAACTTACTCAACCAGTATGTAACATTTGCCGATAATTTTATACATGAGTCAGATCCCATGACCACTACTAATAGTATCTCGCCGCAAGCTTTCCCTCTGGCGGTGCAAATGATATTGGTTCACTACTAGTTGAACCTTCATTTCCGCTGACCCTACAACTCTGATGTTCGAAACTTCTGATGGTGACATTTGCGCAGGATCCGATATGCTTAGACTAGTACTACTTCCGTACTATGCCGTTGGTGCTGTGAGTCACTTGTATTCAATGGCAGAATTCCCTACACGGAGCATGGTTTTCGTTCTCTCGATAAGACTCCACCAGCCCGAGGCTAGATCACATTATGCGCTAATCACACCTGCCATGCCTTCCAAAGCTAAGTCGCCCTCCACAAGAAGTACTCCTGCATCCATACTTCAGAAACTGCAGAATTCTCCTGGAGGATTCTATGCTGCTACGCCGAAGCTCATTCGTCACGTTGAATATTTTGTAGGTGGACCGAATGGCAATATTCTTGTCAGCAAGGGAGGAGGACTCCAACCTGCAGAATTCATCATCCGTGGTGTGTTCGAGATCAGTCGCAATGACTTTAATTTCACCCCAGATGCAAATTTCAATCCCTCGAATATATTTCATGGTTGCTTTGCAGATGTAAAATTGACCTGTCAGCTTACTGCTGGCCGTAACAATGCCTTCCGATTTTCATCAGAAGACTTCCCAGATGTCCTTGACAATCTCGCTCACTTTGAGGGATTAATTCTGAGGGCAAGAGACTATGAGAAGCTCAGTGTCGTTCATGACTCACTCGGTCAGAGATCCGTCAAACTGACGCACAGTCTCTTTGAAGTTGTAAGTATTCATCGCATACTTGTCCATGCATGTTACCGTGACTACATACTGAATATTACTATGACAAAACAGGCCAATAAAGAAGATCGGCGAGATACTGCTAGCCAAGTTGATGGTGATGACAACTACTCGACCAGTAAGCCGCAAACAATTCTTATGTCTGTCATTACACTGATTTTTTACGCAACTGCAGAAGGTCTAAGCTCTGACTTCGACATCACCACTTGGCCAGTGGCCAACCGATGCAAAAGTCACTTGCAGGGCCTCATTTCGACTCATATCATCAGCCCCTTACCAGCGTACGACTTGGATCATAAGCTCGTGCTGCTGTCTGAATATGAGTCAAAACTAAAGGGTGCGCTCGTCGAAGTGCACATGGCGTTTTGCCATCGTCGAATCAGAAGTGCAAAACGTGATGTTTTCAGCACCGTTTTACAAGAACTCACCATCTTGTCACCACCTGCTGCCATGCCAAGCAGTCCCTTCAAACGTCGCCGTCTCAATGCTGGTCCTCTGAATGTATCTTGAATGGTATGCATTAATTCTTAGTATTATTGCCTTCACACACTGATCACCTTCCGCAGTAATGTTGAACACCGTACCCAAAAAAATGTTGTAGTACTTATATGGATTTAGTACATCTAGCATATGTAACAACAGAACCGTTAAATTATTATGTTACAAAGATACCTGAACAACGATGAAGCGTCAGGAAGAATTGTATTATTGATTAGCCAATAGTATCAACGCACCACATGTACCACATTGCGATTTGTCGTCCAAAGGGCCCTTTCTTCGTCCGATAGCAATGCTCTCCGGACAGCCGCAGTTCGAGCAGTGCCACACCCCATTGATCACATTAGCATGCTGTCCATCGACAAACTCTAGCCTCCCTTTCGAGCTCCTTGGCTTTCTTTGTGACGGCTCGCAAATCGGGGGGGGAGATACTAACTGAGGAGGCAGGTGCTTCAGTATTAAGAAACAATGAAGGCACCATCGACATCGATTCAACCGTTGTTGACGGTGTGGGAGCAGCCATACGTGCTTGTTTGGTACGGTGTAGTGCATCGGGTCACGTGATTGTTGAAACTGAAATTTCGAACTTTCGGTTTCAGTCTTCACCACACCAAGGAAGGTTTCCCACCGCGAGGCTGGTATGGCCGTTTGCCCCAAGCCGAACGGTGCAGTGATTGGAATGAGCTTCGATATCTACTGGAGGTTGATGACGCTGGACACGGTTGAGGTAGACTTTGGATGGATTGTGAGTATCTTACTTCAAGGTGCGTGTATTGTGTGTTTTATGCTGCCTCGCTGCGTCAACCTGCCTCATTTTCATAGACGCCTGGGACACAAGGTTGTTTGCCTCCGCACCTCCACCGTTACGACAAGAATGCACTCTACTGTCATGCTTACTGTCCTTGACAGTACACCCTTCCGGCGCCTCAGTCTATACATTCGTCCGACTCTTCTATCCAGATCTCCCAGAGTGTATCTCATTACATCCAATCGAATAGTTGGTGCTTCTCGGCGCTCTATCTATCCTACATGACCGTATGAATATCATTTTTCGTATCAAGCAGCTACTCCATCCAATCACCATATCATTCTTTCGAACGCATGCTTATAGCTTGCTGCAATATCACCTCTTCATCGTGTCGACTCCGAAGATCTGCTTGTGTGCTGGATACAGCCACGTCTGATGTCTCAAATTCGTGACTAATTTGCAACGGAGTGCTTACTTCCAGCGCTTTGCTCGTGATTCATCTCTATTCGCCCGCTCTTATCCCATTCTATTTTGACGGTCTGTTCAGTGGCTCCGAAATGGGTAGTGCTCCAATATCTAGTTTTATTTCTGAGCTCACATCGTGATGCTCAACATCTTGGCGAAATTCATTGCAAAGTTCAGAGGCATTGCCAGTATTGTTCTGCTCTCTACTCCAGTGAGAACCTCCTGGTGGTATCTTTGTCTCCTGTGAGACGCTGGCCAACTCCTCCGTCACCTGCGCCGACAAGACCAGTACACTTACATTGCACTGGTCTAGCATTGAAACACCCTCCCATATTGTCAGAGGTACTTCGGATATTACAACAGTGTATGGATACTAGGGCTAACTTCACTTCAGGCTGGCACGGCTCTCCAAAAGGTCATAAAGCTTGGAAAGCATCTCTGTTTGCCTATCAATCGCAGCTTCGACGTCCTTCCCTACTTTAAGCAAAGTTTCGTGAGTCGTACTTCCTTTCAACTCAATAGCTTTTCCCAGCTTCCTGCGCTTAAACTTTTGCGACAGTTCAAGCACTGGCGTTGACATAGCGCGTCTGATATTAGTCATATCTTGACCAAATTGGCGTGGTGTCTGAAATACGCAGTCAACAATAATTGATGTAAATGATTGCAGGTGGTGAGTCTGACTCACAACATTTCCGACATCTGATGTTGATCTCTTTCGTTTTGGAGGCAGCATTTCACCGCTACCATTTTCGACTTGCGCATTCCAATCATTAATCTCCTGGGACGAGAACAGTTAGAAGTCACTGTAGATGATCTCGAGGCTGCATACCTGTTCGATTCTCTTGTGTTGTTCAGCTCCAGACGCATCCTCAGTCTCAGGATACCCCAGCTCTCGGAGGTTGACTCCGTAAACGCCCAGCATTGTCTTTCCATACTGGTAGCACCCACAAGGGTACACTGGGAGGCCTTGGCCATACCCACCTTGACCAGGACAGTTCTTATAATCGTGACTCAGCGCAGAGTCGGGGGTACAGCTTCGAACCTGGGATATCAATTGGTCCCCTTCGCATACATTGACAGGCTCTGCAGCTCCCATGAGAAGAGCTTCCATCCCGTCATTAAAATCTGATGGACGCGAGTCAAAGCTATTGGGCATGGCGAATTTGCTCTCCCTGGAAGGAAAAATGGGGGTTTGAAATAATTCTCTGTTAATTATTCAAAGCGTCCCCTCAGGTATGTTTGGGCTTGGCCGTTTACGCATTTTGCTGCCGATTGGAACTCAACGACAGCAAATTTTAGTGTTTCGGAACTTGCACACACAACCTTCCTGCTCTCCATAAAACTTTCTTTTGATCATGCATACTCCGCTTCCCCATTCATCATTTCCATATTTCCCCAGTGAGTGCTAGCGTCAAGAAGCTACGGAAGTGCGGTAAGTGTCAAACTCATAGGCTTCCCTGATCATTGCTCGCATTTTTATGGCATTCACCTTGATTTGTAACTCTAGAAACTCCGATCACGGTTGACATCCTTCACTGGTTCTAGTACATACTTAGTCTATGGAATGGATCCGGATCATCGTGTGTCCCAGTGACTGCCCTGCTCTCAAGACCTCCATCCACGCATCCGATCAACAATGTCTCGTCCCAACTGTGGTATGTTGATTGCATCACATTTGGTTTTACCATCCTAATTTGCTTAGAATTCATTCTCAACTCGGTTCGCACGCTTTGGGATCAATTTTTATTCCATGTTCATTCCCGATTTACTCCATGAGTTCGAATTGGGAGTTTGGAAGGCCACCTTCATACACCTAATCCATGTTCTCTATGCATATGGCCATGACACGATACAGTTGATTTGGACAGAACAACAGGTAGCATGAGAGTTACTCTCATTCTCAATCATTTTGTTTTACTTCTGACTACACTGCTGCTTCTTGGGACTTTGATGAACGACTATTTCAAATGCCACGAGAAGTGTGGACGGTCATTTTCGGCGCCAGGAGGCCTGACTCGTCATCGCCAAAGTTGCTCTTACTGGCAGCAGCAGCTGATACAACAGTCCTTACATTTCAAACGAGCCTCAGAAATCAGGCAAGGAGCGTCTGCAGCTAAGAAGATCAAGCTTAGTACTGCTCAAGTGAGTACTGATTCACAGCCCGACTCAAAGGCCTGTCTGATCTTTGTTTCACTAGACCACCAGTGAGGACGCCACAATGTCAGATGTGCCTTCTCAAGTAGCTTCAACGCCTGGAATCACATCTGCTGCCAGTAGCAGCAGTTATACACTCCCGGGCCCATCGTTCACTGGCGGTGAGCATCTCAAATTCACTAGCCTCTAGCAGTACTTTAACCATCAACAGACTCGGAGCTTCGGCCCAGGGAGCATAGCCTTTTGGAGGAGCAGCCTCAGGCTGAACCATCCATGGAAATTCCTACTCCTGAAGGCATTCGCCCTACTCGCTCCCGCCGGTTACCTATGCGATTTCGTGATGAACCTCCTGTGCCACCACCTCTGGTCCCTCAGTCTCCTCCATCTACACTTCCCCGAGTCATCCTCCACGTATTTGATTCTTTCTGGACATCCCTAAACCAATTCGGCATTGGGCGAGACTATCATCATCGACCAACACACGATCCTGATGTGTTCGTCTCTTCAGATCAGCTATCCAATTTTTATTCCAACGCGAGTTTTAATCCTGAGCTACCTAGTAATTCTGAGGCGACATCTTCCTCAAAGGCTCCTCCTTGGCCATGGCGAAACATGAGTGTCTGGCGCCTCATGAGCTGGATGCTGACCGGTGTAGAAACAACAATACTGCGAGGAGCAAACAAAGCTCCAGGCTGTATCTGTAAATGTTGTGAGGTCGCGCGTTGCCTAGTCTGCTATACCTGAGACGACAAGTGCGTTCGACCCTAAAGGGGAAGCGAGTGCAGCAAGGATCTGGTAGTGTGCGCTGAAGCAAAGAGCGAGAAAGCGCAGGTGCGCGCAAGGCGCGGGAACGCGCGCACGTGCTGCGCAAAGCGCGGGAAAGTGCGCGCGTGTATGCGGAGACGATAAAGAGTAAGAGTGAGTTTGCTTGGTGCCAAGGAGTAGATTTCTACTATATTCTGATAGGTGGTAGGTGGTAAATAAAGTGAGAGGTAAAGTCTAGTAAAGTGGAAACTAAAGTGGGAAGTAAAAAGTAAAGTCCAAAGGTCCAGTGTCTAATAATATGTACTGCTGGCGCTTATATGGCGCCTAAGCGCTGTCATGCGGAGCCGAAGTGCTACCGAGTAGGTATGTAAAGATATATGTAAGTAAGGGTCCATGGTAAAAATAGAGGTGGAACGATATGTAAATAAGAGAAATGGGAATATACGCACTAGAGAGCTTGGTGGACAGTGGATGGATGCTTCTGGATGGCTGGCGCTATAGGGCGCTCAAGCGCGGGAAAGCGCGCGCGCGTATACATCGTAAAGCGCGGGAAGTCGTGCGCGCATGCTGCGCATTGCATGGGAAAGCTGCGCCTCGTAAGGGAATAGCTGTGGATAGCACACAGAGTGATGCTGCAAGTCGTGCTGTGTACTCCCTAGTGGAAAGTGCCATATCACACAATGCGAGGCACGAGTCTCTACACCGGAAGCAACCAAACATCGGAAGCTCAAGCCACTCGACTGGTCAGGGAAGTCTTATCAGCCGAAGACTTCAAAATCGAGGACGTGAAGGGCTTCAATGCTCATACTGAGATGGGGCGTTTGGATTCCTTGGAAACCACACTGGGCGACAACGATATCTACCGAAGGGATGGGTGGAAAGAGGTGGCTGCAGAGATTCTTGTACTGACACGGGAGAAGAACCCCAACGGCAACGGGCAGGTTTTTACAGTCCCTGGATTCCAGTACCGGCCGCTCACAGCTGTGATTCATGCTGCTTTCTCGGAGGCAGCATCGAAATGGTTTCATTTCACTCCCTTCAAGCGCTTTTGAAAGTCTCCTGTGACAGGTCGAGAGCAACGTCTTCATGACGAGCTCTATACATCAGATGCATGGATTCAGGCTCACGATGACCTGCAGAAGCAAAGGAGGGATGACGGCTGCAAGCTAGAGAAAGTCATCGCTGGACTCATGTTTTGGTCGGATTCCACGCACTTAGCACAGTTTGGAAACGCATCGGCATGGCCCATTTATCTATACTTCGGAAACCAGTCCAAATACACTCGTGCCTGCCCTACTTCCGGTGCATGCCACCCTGTGGCATTTATTCCCACTGTAAGTACACCTATACGTCGCATACGAATATTGTTGTGCTAACGGTCATTGACTTGTCCTTGGCAGCTTCCGGAATCAATCAAACAATTCATCGCCAAAATCACCATAGTCAAACAGAAGAGCTACCATGACATTCTTGCGCATTGCAAGCGCGAGTTATTTCATTCAATCTGGCGTATTTTGATAGACGATGAATTTCTTGACGCCTACAGAAATGGTATTGTAATCAAGTGTCACGATGGCGTACAACGCCGAGTATTTCCTAGGATATTTACCTATTCCGCAGATTATCCAGAAAAGTGCGTGGAATGCTTCCTTCCAGCCCTGCTCGTGCTAATGACGCATTGGAAGAGTTCTTATTGCAACAGTTCGTGATAAGGGTGTTTGTCCTTGTCCTCGATGTCTCCTTCCAAAATCCTGCTTTGATCGCATCGGACTTCGTGCTGATATATCAGGAAGACTCACGAGAATGCACCGATTCATCAAAGATACTATCATTGCTGCACGTAACGCTATCTACAAGGCAGGCGCTCCGATCAAGGGTGCTACTGTAGAACGCCTTCTCAAAGAGTTCTCACTTGTACCCACCCTTGTAAGCTATCTCTGATTTCTGATTTAGCGTAGTTGAACGTTCATTTCACCTCCCTTACAGAATACCTTCGCTGACCGACTTGGCCCACTTGGTTTGGATTGCTTTTCCATGCTTGTCGTTGACCTTTTACACGAGTTTGAGCTGGGCGTATTCAAATCAGTTTTCAAACATCTTATCAGGCTACTTTATGCCATAAACTCCGACGGAATAGCTATCATGAACGAACAGTAAGACATCTGACTGCTGCAATCCACTGGTCTATGTCTAATGTGGAAACCTTCTTACTATTGGTACAGCTTTCGCTCAATCCCTTCCTTTGGTAAGGGTGCTATCCGGCGCTTTCCATCCAATGTATCAGATGTCCGGCAGAATGTTGCTCGACACTTTGAAGATGTTTTACAGGTCAGTCCGATGGTTTTCACTGTTTCCAACTCTGGCCTACCTCGTCTTTTGGAACAGTGCGCAATCCCTGTCTTCAAAGGGATGTTCCCCCATGAGCACGATGGCATTATTCGGCTTCTACTTTTTTGACTGGCAGAATGGCATGCCCTGGCTAAACTCCGCCTTCACACCGATGATTCCTTAGATAAACTCGATCAAGCACTGAACGCTCTAGGCAAACAACTTCGGAGGTTTCAGCAGTTCACATGCTCGGCTTTTCGAACTGTGGAACTTCCATGTGAAGTCGCTGCACGTCAGAGGAGGCAAGATGCTAATGTTCAGTCCACCAATGGGGAGGCAAGGGCATCAGGTGCTCGACCCAAGACCTTCAATCTCCTAACCTACAAATTACACGCACTTGGTGATTACGCTGCTTCTATCAGGTTGTTTGGTACAACAGATTCGTATACTACCCAAATTGTAGGCATTTCTTGCTTGGCTATATTAGCAGTATTGATGTTCCGTGCTTTACAGGGCGAGCTGGCTCATCGTTTTATAAAAATGCTATATTGAAGCACGAACAAGCAGGATCCTGCAAAGCAGCTGGCTAGGCAAGAACGAAGGCGCACTCGCATCCGACGGCAGCAGTCATCGACAACCCTCCTTCATGACATACGCAGCAGTGATCTACCACCTGAAGTCCATCATTTTTTATCGAGCAATCATGGTAACAAGATAAATTTGGCCTCTTACCTCGGTGAACACAGGGATGATCCAGCCGTCAAAGTCAGTCATATCAGATAACCACTTCGCTGCTAACAGTACTCAAAGGACTTCATTCCGAAACTGAAAGATCACCTTCTCTCACGACTCCTAGGCTTGGACTACGATGGCGATGAGCGGGAATTCAGCAATGCTCAAAGAGGTAGCATACTGTTTATCAACAACCTCAGCAGGGTCTCCAAAGCCAAACGCCTTCAGATCAACTACACAACTTATGATATTCGCCGCGACCAAGACACTTTGAAACCAGGGCGTGGTGGCACTGTGATGATGTTGTCGAGGGAATGTGACACTAATGCTCATCCATTCTGGTATGCGCAAGTTTTGGGCGCTTTTTCTATACAGATTCTCCACATCGGCCCGGACGCTCGTAATCGCTCTCCGCAATCAATGGAGTTTTTGTGGGTTCGGTGGCTTGGTGTAGTTCCGCATTACCGGTGGGGTTTCAAGGAAGGTTGGCTCCCGAAAGTTGGATTCATACCAGATTCACCCACTGCATTTGGCTTTCTCGACCCTTCCCTCGTCCTCAGAGCTTGCCACCTTATACCGGCATTTGCTGACGGCCATACGGATGATCTCCTTTGGCATGGCCCCACAGTTGCTCGACCATGCGGAGAAGTAAATGACTGGACTGCATTCTATGTTAATATGTAAGTCTGTCGACATAGTTTAAGACTTTCCTAAAAACTGACAATGTCAACACAGCTTCGCTGATCGTGATATGTTTGCTCGCTTCACACGTATTGGCGTCGGTCATCAAATACAGTATGTTTTGCCAAATACTACTGATGATGAAATTTTTGTTGGAAGCATGAGCAATGACGACGAAACTCTGGATGAGAGCAATCTGGGACCCACCATCGAGTCCAGCGTTGACAACCACCAGAACCGAACTCAAGGGGACATAACTGACGATGGAGATAATGAATCTGATGCATGGGACGATGGAGACAAGGCTGTTAGCGACTCGGATGATGAAGATGGGGTTACGTCCATGACCAACTCAGATGACGAAGATTGTAGCTCAGAAGATTATGGCGAATCCGAAGACGATGATATGCCAGACTTCAAATTTTAGGGTTGGTAGTTACATTATTTTCTTGTTAAATCTAAGTAAGCGTGTCTAAATAGCTCTATCCCTATCTTTACATTTTTTGAGATCTACTCCTCACCTATTGTTTCTGATACGCCGCGGCTCTGCGGGCAAGCCTTGGGTGTGTGTGACTGTCACTGTGACCGTACCAGTGCGTGAGTCACTAATTCTGATCAGGGTGCAGTGCCTGAGCGCTTGGTTCCTTTCGCTGTTCACTATGCCTGTCTTCTTGCATTCTATCCAGCAAAACGTTGACGGCGCGCATAACTTATATCCTATACTCCATCTTCATCGCATCTTTGATTATTCTCTCACACGCAACGCACGACAAATTTTTATCCAATCATCGCTCATCAGCTGGTTGATTACCGGTGAGTAAACTTCTTTGCAGTATGTTCTTGCTTTGCTCACAATTCCCTATATTTGAATGCAAAAGGTGGTTACCATTACTGCATCTACACACAATTTGTACTTTGCACGCGGATCAGGCTCAAGAAATCCATTCCAGCTCGAGCCCAAAGAGTCAGGCTGTCTCCAGTGCTGTTTTCCGTCACCCTCCCATTAGTATAGCTGGACAGTGGACTTACAGTAGTGTATATAGCACTTTGTATCCCATCATGACTTATGGAGGGTGTTTGCTTGCCTGAATTCCATCGTACTGTGCATGTTTTCGAGCTTGAAAACTTGGGGCCCTGTCAGTATCACTGGTACTACTACTAGTACTACTGACGGCGGCGGCAGATATATGGGCATATGATGTTGCAATATTATTCTTATTGCTTACAATACTCCTGGCTAAAAGATGATGAGCTATAACATTCGTAGTGCGTGATCTCAATGTCTCCAAAGTCGCTGTCAAACTATAGTCACACTGAATTGCTATATAAAATTCTACATTGTGATGCAATTTTGATGGAAAACTGCAGAAGCCAGAACACTAGCTTGGAACCTCCTAATGGTTTATCAGAAGAAAGCTGAAATAAAGAACAGACTTCAGATCAATAATGTGATCGGCGGTTTGGATGGTAGAGCGTAAAAATATGAAAGCTAGCTAGAGAGCTAATATAGGCTAATAATGGTCCAACAAAGGACAAAGCAGAAGACAAAAGAGATAACAGATTAGGCACCTGATGTGCGTCTCACAAGCCACTACATAGACATATATTGGGAAAGCTGATTCGCTCAACCTTATAAGGTAAATAAGGTCATATCATGCTGATTGGTTTTCAGTGATGATTGGCAGCAAGACACAAATGACGTTTAGGTCAAGAGTGCACTGCAAGTTTGAGCGGTACGGTGAAGGTACAACAATTCAGAGAGTGAGTCTGAAACATGTTGGGTCTTGCAGAACCTAGCTGCTATTCGACCCTAAAGGGTTTCTGGACCAGGCTCAAGGCTCAGAGGAGAGGAAATATCATGAAAAACTACTGAAGACTCAGACTCATACTGATAACTGGTGAAAAGATAACTTCCTTATGTAAGCTACAAAAGTGCCAACATAAGGTAAGGTAAAAACAGTCTCTACAAGCCCAGCCAGAAATGAATCCCTACAACGGTGCAAATGTGTCATCGTCGTGTTCACTTCTAGCATAGGCTGTGCAACTGAAACACCTAACCATCATCCCTGATCACAAGTCACATTCCATCAGTCACGATCAGTCTACGACGGAGTCCCCGCATACCTTTCATGCGCTCTGCTACAACCTTTCCCAACGCACTTTCATTCTGATATCCTCGTTCAAAACATCTTGAACTGCCTCTCCCTACCCAACTACTCCCTGAAGGTGCCCGGTGCTCAAGGTACAACGCACCCTCACAAATACCATATATGCACACAAAGTCACCAAGCATGAATATAGCACTATAGCTTTATCGTCGGATCACCATTTCAGAGCAGCAAAGTAGCCGAGGAGATGTTGGAACGGGCACAGACTGCAAGGGAACCAAGGCCAGACCTCTATGGCGGGAGGCTACGGCTCTGTCTATCGAGGACAGACTACGACACACGCGAGGACTATCGACTACGAGCCAGGACTCCTGCCACCGTGCCAGGACCCCCTGCCACTCCCGTCCTGTCCTGCCAGAGCGCCCCGCTCCAATGTTCGCCCTCAGCAGATATTGCTCGTTGAGCTTGGCGGCGCTCTCCCTACATTTCCTTGAAGGGACTCATGATGGTAATAAGATCACATCCGATGTTGTTTGATTAGGGCAGCATAACCTATTCAAATACTGTACAGATTTAGGACTTTTTCGAGTGACAGCTGAAAAGCGTCGACCTCCTCCCTTGATCACAGAAAATGTCAGACGAAGAAACATCACCGAGAATGAGACTCTGAAAAAGAGGAGGGATTCGCAAAAGGTGACATGGATATCACGAAGCTGACGCCCACTTTCGCCTCAAGCAATATCAAAAAAGGTGTGCAAGCAGCTTTCCTTTATTTGAAGCAATTCATCGAGCGGGATCCTTCTAGGTCTTGGGCATAGGATCGACACACTCACGTCCTGCGAACGGTGGGCGACGACTTGGACCAGCATGACTGGAGCTCGAAGGAGGACCAACACACTCACAAGCTGTCACCACAATGCACCCCTGCAAAATGTTATGGGCTCGGACGACAAGGCGCTTCGTCTGTGGGACTTGTCAGCAAAGACGGCAACACTACCGACCTCGCCGTCGGACGCTATGCGGCCTATGCCGACTTCGTTCTGAGTGAATGAAACTAGAGGCTACGCCGGCCTAGTTTCTTTCACTCAAAACGAAGTCGGCATAGAGTCCGTCGAGCTCGGTATCTACAACTCGGGCAACAAGAAAATGAGAGAGCGACGCGCAAATGGGGATGAGCGCAGAGAAGAGGGAATGAGGCGTCGATTCTCGAATCAAGTCCTTTTGACTCTGTGCATTCGGACGTGTGCACTATTTAGATCGAAGCGCACAAGAGGAGAATCTTCACGTGACTGCTAGATCGAATGGCCGAACAGCACGTCGTGTAGCATCCACCTACATATATTTAAATGATTGGTGAGATCTGATTATAAAAGTGTCACATACAGTGAGGATCAAGTTGTCGCGCTGGTCCAACAGAAGTATGTCAAGGCCAGCTTCTTTTACGATCGTAGAAATGTCCCAAGTGTACGCATTTTTGTCACCGCAGCCAGTGGTTAGTAGCTTTCCATCTGCAGAAAATGACACAGGAAATACGTGAAAGGGATGCTGGAGGGGCGAACTGATGGGCTGGTTGTCGTCGAGGTTCCATAATCGCGCTGTGTTGTCCAACGATGCGCTTGCGAGGATGCGGCCATTTGGAGATATGGCAATAGATTGGACAGACCCAGTGTGCCCTTCCAACACTGCAATCTATTTCCAAGTTGAAGTACTCCATGTCCTAATGGACTGATCGGATGACCCAGATATAAGCATTTTTCTATCCGGGGTCCAAACCAAGCAAAACATCCAGCGCGCGTGTCCTTCAAGAGTGGCGATAAGCTGACCTGTTTTCGCATCCCAGATTTTGATCGGGGAGTTGTTATCTTCAGTATCCCAAGGCTGTTCGGATCCACCAGTTGCAAACAAGGTCATATCTGGCGAGTAGATAGCTGCCCACACCCATGTATGCCCTGCCTTGATTGGTGTGAGCATAGCCCGTCCGTTCTCTACATCCCATTGTCTTGCAATCCCATCGGTAGATCCGCTCAAGACCTGCTGACCATCTCGACTCCAGCAGACAGAATTCACTCTCTCTGTATGCCCGATCCATCTTCCCATCACTTTGCCTGTGTCAATGTCCCACAACCTCACTCTACCATCCTCACTCCCGCTAACCACCTTCTGCCCGTCCGGAGACAACGCTATGGTTCGTACTTGACTGTCTCCGTCTCGCCAGTCGTCTCCTATCTGTTTGCCGCTCTTCAAGTTCCACACCCGCAGCGAGCCGTCTACGGAGCAAGTCATTATCCGTTGTCCCCCTGGTAGATGTATGGCACCGTAAACCAAGTGGGTGTGTCCCTCGAATTTCTGGCAGGGTTTGATCGCTGATACCTCCTTCCTTCTAACCGTGGCTGAAGACATCTTGGTATAGCTGTCTCAACTTTCATCCAACAAAATTCAAAATCATCACTCACGACAATATGTTCCTCGGTTATTCCCCCACGTATTGGCACCAAGATACAACGGGTGTTTAGGTCAAGAGTGCATTACAAATTTGAGCGATACAATTTAAATGCCCTATCCTCTCGTTTGCTCCGCAACCTCTAGTTTGGCTGTGCAACTGTACAACGATGTGTTCCCCAGCAGATCACAACGCATTGATGCCAAGACACAATGAGCATTCATCAGGAAAAATTTACCGTAGCCCCTGATGACAGCTAGGCACCGTGGCGCTATATGAGCATAGATATTAGATAGAGGCTTGATAGAGCTATGTAGCCTAAAGCCGCGCTACATGCTACATGCAGCTACACTGTCAAGTCTAAAAGACATTGAAGGTCTAAGCAGAACGGATTCGATAAGTCCTGAGGTACATCAGTAACGAGTGTACATGTAGTAGGTTGTGACTTACCCAGTCGAGTATCATAGACCAATACTGGGGAATCGAAGGAAAGAAAAAACGAGATTGTAGCCGAGTTTCCCAATTCGGTGACGTCAGGTAGTAAACAAAGATAATTCTGAAGTCTACATAACACTACAACGACATGCTGCCTTCTAATACCTGAAATATCAACCACGGATCTGCTGATTGTCCCATCTTCGGTTATCAAGAGAATCCAGTCGCGGAGAGTGAGGTCTGTTCGATATCGACATATCAGACCGAGCAAGACAACCAAGCTTCCGGCTTGACGCATTGTCGCTAACTCGCACATCGGGTGACGTCACAATGACCACTTGACGATGAACGTCAAAACGGCCTTGAAGCCCAGGTACGATGGTGTCATGTGGGAGATTCTGGGTAGGAATGATCGGAGAGTATGGAGAAAATCGGTAGCGTCATGGGCTGTTACAATGGTTTGATTAGATTGACATGGATACGCTGATGACATCCGAGCCTTGTCGTCGACCACAAACAACGGGGTATCAATAAACGACTTTATGTGTATGTTTTCCAATGCTCAAGGGATCAGATGAACCTCGACGAGATGGGTGGGATCTTAGTGAAAAACTAGGAAAATAAATCAATGACGGCCGTCAGTACACTCGGTAGAAGCGCAACATACAAAGAGTCAGAAGCGAATCCAGCGTCCAGCATGTTTGATCGTGACATGAGGATCAGTACTGGAAGCTCTAGCTTCGAAGGTGGCGACAACCGTAGGTGTGAGTGATGACATAGAGATGGCCTGAGCACCCTGTGGTTGTGAAGATGACTGGACCTGAGCCTTGCCGCTAGATTGCTGCGTAACATTACTGTTGGAAGGACGCGAACTGCTCGCAACAGCCATTTTTGGGATCAGGCTGCGTTTCTCTCGCGCTGACGCGTTCCTCTGTGGTATGAGATGGGATTCGAACATGCTAGAGAGATGTCATACACGTTGCCCTTGGCAAACGGAATGTGGACGACTGCTGAGCGACACTTGCGCGCTGCACTACCGGGTCGGGAAGAGAAAGGATTCTGAGCCCAGTAAACAATGCGGGATTGTGCTAGCATATCGAGTCGCCCAGAAGACTGTAAACATCGAGGTTAGAAAAAATAGTGCTAGTAGATGGCATGAGCGACGTACGTGAGCACGATGTGGTGTGCCATTTAAAAATCCTTGGGGTACCCGATTGGAAAGCTTGATTGGTTGACGCACTGGACGGCGTGTAGCATCAACCTGGAATAGATAGGTTTGGATGCAATAAAACCTGAGATCAAAGTGTCACGTACAATTAGTAGCGATTTGTCGAGCTGGTCCAACAGAAGGCCGTTGAGGTCAGCTTCTTTTACAATCGCAAAAACATATACACACCAAGTTGAAATTTAAAGCTTGAAGTATTCCGGGTCCTAATCGACTGATTGGACGATCCATCCGGGGTCCAAGCCACTGGCCAGACACCGAAGTTCAAGAGTACTTAGCGACAAGCTCGCCCATCCTGGCATCCCAGATCTTGACTTGGTACTTTTTATCTCTATTCCAAGGCCGTTGGGAACTACTACTAGTACTCGCGAACAAGGTCATGTCTGGCAAGTAGACAAGTGCGAACACCCATTCATGCCCTGTCTTGATTGGTGTGAGGATCATTTCTCCGCTCTCTATATCCCATTGTCTTGCAGTGCCATCGTAAGATCCGCTCAAGACTCGCCGACCATCTCAACTCTAGCAGACAGTGCTCACTTTCTGTGTATGCTCCATCCATTTCGCGACGACTTTGCCTGTGTTGATGTTTCACAACTTCACTTCACCATCCATACTCCCGCTAACCACTTTCTTCCCGTCCGGAGACAACGCTATGGTCCAAGCTCCAATTTCTCGCCAGTCATCTGCTATCTGTTTCCCACTCTTCAAGTTTCATGTCCGTAGCGAGCCGTCCTCTGAACAACTCATCGTCCGTCCTCCCTCTGGCAGATGTATGGCGCCTTCGATCCAATTGATGTGTCCCTTAAATTTCTGTTGGGAAGTTATCCTCCACATCTCCTTCCTTCCAACGATGGATGAAGACACCATCAACTACTAGGCGCAGCTCCGTCTCAGTTTTCATCCAATACAGTCCAAAACCATCAATTAATGGAGACAACCACGCCCTCAGTCGAAGGATGCGGTTGCTGAAGGTGGTATTTTGGATTCCAGCTTGTCTGCGCCCACACCTGGCTGTGTAAATGTTGCCGATATGTTCATCAAAATGATTGGATTTCCGTCGGACCCAGGCACGTTGAATTGTGTGAGTGGTGTTACTTAGAAAGGCGCTTTGTGTCTGACTTTGTTGGCGCTTCAGTTAACATTAGTCCTTGCATTATTATGCCAATCCCAAACTCCCTAGAGTGACGTGTGCATTATCGCACACTGTCCAAGAAGAACATATTTCTAATATCACTCGGCTATGACTAGTTGAGCTTTAAGACTAACCTACCTTGAATCGTACATCAAAGAGTGAATATCGAATGGTTTACCCGATGAAAATGCCGTCGTGTCTACGTATACGGTCTCTCACCAGCGTGGAAGCCTTCACACAGGCTATGTAGTATAAGTATCTTGAGCTGTCGTTAGGGAAGGCTGGAGCATCACTTTGAACACTTTCCGCGACTGTCATGGGCAATCACCTTTCTCTACTGGGTCAATCATTCCCGTCCGAGTCGAAATTTCACGTCGATGACATCCCCGACCTGACCGGGAAGGTCATGATCGTTACTGGAGCTAATACTGGGATTGGTAAAGAGACAGCAAAGGTGAGTTGCAAAGGATGGATACTTCATGTTGCTGACCATAGAATTCAAGGCCCTGTTGAACCACAATGCCAAGGTATACATAGCTGCCAGAAGCCAAGAGAAGGCAGAAGTAGCCATCAAGGATCTTAAAAACAGCACTGGGAAAGAGGCTCTCTTTCTAAAGCTTGACCTCGCAAATTTGAAGTCTGTGAAAGCTTCTGCCGAAGAATACCTCAGGTTCGTCTCTTCTGTCGCAACGCCACAGGGGCTTCTCTGACGCTATCACCAGCAAAGAGACTACGTTGGACGTCCTATTCAATAGCGCGTGAGTGCGCAACATGTACTAAATGCCGTGGTTTGGATATGCTCATATTAGTGCATAAGGGGGGTCATGTTCCCTCCAAAAGAATGGTTAACTGTGGACGGATATGATATGCAATTTGGAACAAATGTCCTTGGTATGACGATTACATTTCTGCTACTACAAGACTCTAATTTGTCTGCAGGGCACTTCTACTTCACTAAGCTGCTATTGCCCACCCTGATTGCTACCGCAAAATCTGCGCCTGATGGCAAAGCTCGTGTTATCACGACTTCGTCCTCGGCACATATCCTGAAGGGCCTCACCTTCTCGGCGTTTGAAGATGGTCCTGCTCGTGGGAAGATGTCTACTACTGACCTTTATGGGCAGAGCAAAACCGCAAGTCGACTCTGTGATTTTGCGTCATCTTCTCCTGACTCTCCAACAGGGCAACGTCGTACAAGCATTCGAACTCGCAAGGCGCTACAGTTCAGAGGGCATCGTTTCCATACCCCTGAACCCAGGTAACATCAAAACAGACCTGGCGCGCCACATGCCGTCTTTTCTACGTGGTATTTTGGTTCGCAAATGTTCTACATGCAGCTGCTAGGTGAATGCTGACGAAGATGTAGAACTTGTTCCTCTACGACGTTGAACATGGAGCACTGACTCAACTCTATGCTGGAACTGCTCCAGAAGCTGTAGAGTTGAACGGCAAGGTGATGTCTCTATCGAATGATGTTCGCAAAGGGACGCTGACACCTCTCGCTCTCTTGTGTAGTATCTCGTTCCTTGGGCCAGGGTTGGTCCAACTCGTAAGGATGCTCGGGACCCCAAGGTAGGCGAGGCTCTATGGGAATGGCTTGAAGAGCAGGTCAAGGATGTTTGATTTTTTTGGCTGCTGCTAAGAAGTATCATACATACAAGTGTTTTTTTTTGCGGATCTTGATGGATTGCAGGTGCGAATAGTAGATACCCATAGTTGTGTTTCCCGTAGTCAGACCTTGAAGAAGGAAGATAGTCATTCATTCATATTCAATAAGGTAGTTGCTTTTGTGGAATAATCATGTTTTAAACTTGGCCAGGCGAAGGTAGCCAGAGCAACGCCGAAACAGTGCGCATTCATTATAACTATGGGTGAAGTACATGTCGTAGGAATACTACCCCATGTCAAAGATCTGTGAGAGATGTACTTTGCCTCACGATGATATTTTTTCCTTAGCCTTCGTGACAGCTAGATCTGAGGTATATTCAAGAGCTGTCGGAGACGTTGAGTAGGAGCGTCCATCACTTACATGATGACGGCCTGAGGATGACCTATGGCTTCGTGCACTTGGCACGTACATGCATCCCTTGAACCACAACATCCTCAATCATCATCAACGTCAAGGTCGCCTTCGACGCCTGCTCCCTCTCCCGTATCATCAAACTCCATTGCGTTTGCATCATATCCCCAAGTCTCTTGATCCGCTTCTTCGTAGACCTCCACTGCAGCTTCATCGCGCGTCTGTTTGACTTCAGGTACAACCACAGTCCCATTCGGATGTTCAGGAGCCCTTTCGCTCAACGACTTAGATACTGCAGCAAGAAGGTCTTCCATCTGGTTCCCCAACCGATCTTCGAGTTCTTCGACGATCTGAATTGCGGCGTTCAGTCCATTTTGGCGTGATGAATACGCAGACTCGCACATACAACATATAGCTCTACCGGCTCAGTCGGAGCCAAGTTGACTATCTGAAGCTTTTCTGCTTTCGACAATCCAAACGACTGAAGACCGCCCACGAGCTGCGTGATGCTCGCGTCTGATTGATGGAGGCTCGGCTGGTAGTCCGCAGATAGATATTGAATAGCTTCCAGCTCGACTGTGCGAAGGTTCTCGCTTATCTCTTCAGTATGAGTGTCATGCGAGTTCTTTCCCGCAGCCTCTTCTTCTTTTTTGACACGGATGGCAGTTTTTGTGCGGGCGATGTGCTCCGCATCTAGTTCGCGAAGGAGGTTTAGGACTTCAAAGTTTGATAAGAGTGCTGACCGAGCATTTACAACCTCCATAGACACGTTAGTAGGTTGCAAACCAGGAACAGAAAAAATGTAATAAAATTTCGCGAACGTATTACAGGCCCGATTAGCCGGACGTCCCCGACTGATCTACAAAGTAGATACATTGCAATCGGTGTATGTTGCTAAACCTTGCATGTCCTAGATCAGAGCCAGTCCCCGACCCGCCGATGGATATAAAGGCATATATTCTGTACAAAACTCAACATCACTCGAATTGACCCGTTAATTTCAAAGCCTCTCAATTCCTCAAATAACAAATGATCATGCGATAAGGCAAATTCAACACGACGAGATGCAGAATGGGATCGACAGCTGATTTTATGCGAATACCCACACTCTGCCGAACAAAAGTACGAACGGCCTCCTTCGAAATCGTCAAAGGCAGACGCTGCAAACAATCCGCGTAATATTCTGAGTAGTGGAACCAGGCATGATCCATTGCGTTGTAACACAGCCGCACATAAGCAACACAGGGCATGTGAGGAAGTCGGAGAGGGAGATAGCAGCTAAAGATAGTGCTAGCACCAGCGCCCGCTCGCCAGCACCCATGCAAAGACAGGAATGATCGAACGTGACAGTAACACGCCATTCGATTGAACTGCAACGTACACAAGAGGCGGGATGCGAGCACAACACGAACTGGAGCGGGTAGCAGAAAGAGGTCGCGGTTGCGTCGACATGTGGATGCAATTGGAGACCGTAAGTCACATAGATCCTAATAAATTGGATGTTGTTCGACAGTATGGTCAACATTATGAGGAGGGCATTGAGCCTCATTGAGCACGCGGGACACAGCAGATACGCGCTTATGCAGAAATAGAGCCATGTCGAACTGCGAATGGCAAGAGTCAGCAAAGATTGAATCCAAGACGCACAAGTGTAATGCGAGTGACCGCAGGCCAATCTAGAAACTAGGCACTATGAATGGCAGAAAAGCAAAAGAGGGAGGACGACGCAAAGAACAAACATTCGGGCAAAAATAGCCCGTGTCGGCAGTTTTCCCTAAAAAGGACATGCCAGGTTATCCAACGTTCCAACGTTCGCTTTGACGGCACATTTGGTTTTAACAGAAACAGCGGGACATTTATGTCTCCCTACTACTCCCACTAATCGTGGGAGTAGTTGTTCTCGCCCCTTGTGGTTCATGTGTTCGTATCCGTCTCTGTTCTCTGAAGTCCGAGAGGATATAAGTAACACAGAGGGAAATCCCTGGGGCAGCCAAAGTGACATTGCACAAAGAGAGTGCGACCAATTGCGGTTGATCCGGTAGAGTCGGGGTTACGATTATGTAATTCGTCTGTATAAGAACAACGTTGCCCAACGTTGCTCAGCCGCATCATCAAATCCGCAGTTTGGCCAACTGTTTCAGATTCTCGAGGCCCAGAAATTGAAGTGTATTCAACCACTAATGGGCCCATCATGACCAGGCTGCCGAACAGCCGACCGTTTGTCCTGCTTCTCAGATCCGAAAGATGATTGCCGTAGCAGGCACCGCGTAAGCTAATTGTAAGCTGTAGTATTTTTGAACCCCACAATTCAGTAAACTTAAAGAACCGCACAGTGGTTCTCTCTGGAGCCTGTGGCGCTGGTATGACGGAGGTCGCGGCGCAGTTGCGGACCCGACATATATATTGAGTAGGGCTATTATGAACTAGTGGTACTCCTGCACGTCACAAAATTTACCTTCTTTCCCTCATGGTATCTACCCATTCCATAATGGCAACGGCGCTGGCCTGCTTGGCGTTCTCCATTGCGCCGGTGACTGCAACAACGTACTCTATGGTTAAAGAGTACTATGGTTCTACTTTCTTTGACGAGTGGACTTTCTATAATAATTGTTCGTGCTTCAGTTCGAATCTGCCATATCTCGAGCTCACTTTTTGCAGATGATAATTTGACAAACGGAGATGTTGTGTGAGTACACTTTGAAGTGTCCTTTCTGCATTTGCGATCTAACATTTTCATCGCAGTTATGTTTCGGCTCAGAACGCAACTGCAGATCAGTTGGCATATGTAGATACTTCAACGAACCATGCCATCATCAAAGTAGACAACACTTCCACTGTGCGTTGTTCTGCAAGATACATCATCTCCACTAACAGCTCTCGTCAGGTGGTTTGGGACAACAAACGCAACTCCGTCAGGATTTCAAGTGACGACACCTTCGGAGTGGGAAGTTTGTGGGTAGCCGATATATATCATGCGCCTTATGGTGTGCGTGAACTCATTTTGTGCCATGATGCTGGCGTGCTAAAGCTAGTCTCTGATTTAGTGTTCCGTGTGGCCCGCGTGGTGGAGGTGGGTTACTCGAGAGAGAGCATCGCACTCTTTAGATACCATGAAAGCTGACGAATCATAATAGTCAAGCAGCTGTCTGGCCACAGGGTGGCGAGATCGATACCTTTGAGGGCATCAATACCAATACCCAAAACCAAATGTCCTTGCACACTGAAACTGTTCGTGAACTGGTGCTGATCTAAATCGCTTATGCTCCAACACTCGCTTGTCATTTCTACAGGGGTGCACGGCGATTTCCCAAAATCAAACTTCAACTCTGGTTGCCAGCACAAATTGTTCGTATGCCGCGAACGAGGATCAAGGTTGTATTGTTACAGACCCATCGACTGGGTCCTACGGTGCTGGTTTTGCGAGCAGTGGAGGAGGAGCTTTTGTGACCGAGATGGCTTCTACTGGTATAAAGTACATTGATTGCCTTTTGATCTTTGTTAGACCGCATCACTTAACTTTTTGTGTCATTTAGCATTTGGTTCTTCGCAGTGAGTTACGGTACTAATGATAGGCATTGCCAAGTACTGAACCAAATTTCCAGAGGTCCGCAATACCTAGCTCGCTGTCGAGTAACGAAAGCTCGATTGATACCTCGGCCTTTGGTACTCCTGTTGCCAATTGGCCTTCTACGGGTTGCAACATTACGGAATTCTTCCAGCCCCAGAACTTGATTTTCGATATCACCCTCTGTGGAGGTACGTCAATCATGTATCAGTTCGATGATTGAACTGACATCGGCTCGTGTTAATTCTTAATCGATAGACTGGGGTAAGCAGATTTTGCGAGCAACAGGCACTGCAGGATGCTAAGACATTTTCACAGCCGATGGTTCTACATGGAATAGCACATGCTCAGGGATTTGCTACAATAACTGGGTCATGGGCAATGGTACCGACTACGATAATGCCTACTTCGAAGTTGGCTATGTGAAGGTTTTCAGCACGGAAGGCACCAACACCGTCGTATCTCCCACCACCACTGGTTCTGGTTCGTCCTCGACGACTTCAGGCTCATCAACACAAAGTAGCTCGTCTGCGGGCCTCCCGTATGGTGGCTATTGGATGAGTGTGACATTGCTCGTTGTCGTTGGACTTTTCAGCGCTCTCTTTACACTTACTTGAAGGGACTAATGATTTATCTCCGACGTTGCTCAGTGATATGAATGTACTTTTTGTATGTATAGGCTCTATTCACTTCACAACCGGAGAACCATCATGGCCGGGAAGAGGCATACCCAGGACTTATGATTACATAGTATTTGACTTTGTTGAACAATAGTAGATCCGGACTTTGGAAAAACTTACGGCTGCCGTGACTATGTAATAGCTATCAACCCCAGACGAGTAGCTCCGACTGGCGTTCCTAAGATTGCGTGGGCCATAGGCACTGCAGTGTTTTATTTATGTAGACTCATATGGAGAACTCTACCTTGTCATCAGTTGCAGTGTAATCGACTCCAAAAAAATCTATTCACACCAGGTCAGGAGGTGCCTGGAACATAAGAGCGTGTGACGCATACGGCATACAACAGCATTATAGCGGTGGAATGTGAAGGTGGGGTCTGACCAGGATATGCCCGGAGCACAAGAGAACGTGGCAAAGAACGTGCGACACATACAACATACAACAGCATTATAGCGGTGGAATGTGGAATTGGGGTCTGACTATGATATGTCCGGAACACGAGGGAATGTGGCCAAGAGCGTGCGGCATTGAGGGCTGCATACAGCATGCAACAGCATTATAACGATAGAGTGTGGCGATGGTAGGTGTACAAAAAACAGCACCAGTCAACGAGTGCAGGTACCATTGCAACTGTTCAGTGAAATGGCACGAGCACCAGAATAGTGAGAGCATGTGTATGCCATGTGCAAAGAGTCCGAGTTACCGAGCAGAAGAATTATGCAGTCTGGGAATTACCAGACTTATGGAATGAAATTCCGCAGCGAATACGTTGGCCTACAGTCAGATCATGACGAGAATGAACTAGAAGGATACCACAATGGCACGGACGCGCTTGACGAATCGTACCTTCTCTTCAACAGTGACGATGTTCCGTTATGTGGCAAACTCACATTGGCAATCAATTGTGCCATGCGCCTGGCAATCGATCCAAGAAATGTTACACGTGTAGCATGATAAGCAAAACCCAAAATATAAGGGGCACAAAATCTATGGGTCATGATGGAGGATAGTCGAGCTGAAGCAGCCAGGTCCGATACGGAAGACGGTCCATGAGAGGGAATGCCAGTAACGGTATTGAGACACAAATGTGGGCGGAGACAGCTTGCCACAACGTGAGAGGTATCGCATGTATTGGTAAGGACGACGTCCTTATAGACATCAGGTTGCGATCACTGCCAGGACCCAGTCATATGGAAAGGAGCGGAGTGCCAGAAAACCGGTCGACGTACCAGACTGGCCTGCGCAGCATTTAAAAGAAGAGCTTTAGGTTGGTGAGACTGCGTCAGACTGGCACAGCGTTGCGATAGATAACGGTATCACCACGAATCATATTGATTTGATCCGATGAGTTCTTGCGCTTGATCTGATAAAGAGAAGGGGATGTGGAAGAGATCGTTCGATTGGAAGGGCAACTCAGAGCCCTTGGACTGGCATGGAAGTCTTGCGCATTTTGCACGGCTGGAGTGAAATTAATGTAATGTAATTTTGTACCCACCACGAAACATAATTGCCATGTTTGACGATCCGCTGCGCTCCTAGCTGTGCATGAACTTAAGATATCATAGATATAGGTGATCCGTAAAATCTGTTGTATGGGAGTTACAGGTAAGGGCATCGGGACTCCCTGGCAAAAGTTTCAAATATTTAGCACTAAAGTTACTATTAGCATTTATTTGCACAGATCATCATCAGCTTCTTACGCTTGTGTG